ATCAATAATCTTTTTTAAATATAAGTACTTTTTTGGTATATTTGTTTTATTTTATATAATGTAAGTATTTTTTTTGTTCAAAAAATGTTTAGAGACTTTATCATTCAAAATATGAATGTTCATTGGTTTTTTTCAAAAATCTTTTTTAAATATAATTATTTTTTATGTAAATGTAAGTACTTTTTGTTATATTTGTTTAATTTTATAGATCTAAATATTTTTTTGTTCAAAAAATATTTATGGACTTAATCGTTCAAAATATGAATGTTCATTGGGTTTTTTTTTTCGGATTTTCCCATTATTTTACCACATTAACCGGTTGTATAGGTCATAAAGATGTATCTAACAGGTTTTAAAAAGTCCAAAGAGTTATTTAACATGTTTTGAAATGTTCAAGGATTTATTTGTTCCAAAAAATTATTTAAAGACTTAATCATTTTAAACACTAAAGTTCATTAAAAAATGTGATTTGTTATTACATATTTCTTTTTCAATATTGTTGGATATGTTGTTATCATAGATTATGCTTGTGTTTACGATTGGATCATATAAATTCGAATAAAATTTTGATATTTTGTAATCACAAGATAACCTCCAACTCTTGATTTGCTCTTTCATTTACTTTCTTTTATTTTTTAATGAAATTTGTTTTTCAACGTTTCAATAATAAACAAAATGAAATCCTACAAATTCTTTTAGTGAGGGATGAAGAAGGTGAGAGTTGAAAAAGAATTCAAAGATTTAAAAAGGTATGTAGAAATTATATTAATTAAAAAATGTAATTTGTTATTACATATTTCTTTTTTAATGTTGTTGGATTTGTTGTTATCATAGGATATGCTTGTGTTTACGATTGGATCATATAAATTTGAATAAAATTTTGATATTTTGTAATCACAGTATAACCTCCAACTCTTGATTTGCTCTTTCATTTACTTTATTTTATTTCTTAATGAAATTTGTTTTTCAAAGTTTCAATAATAAACAAAATGAAATCCTACAAATTCTTTTAGTGAAGGATGAAGAAGACGAGAGTTGAAGAAGAATTCAAAGATTATAAAAGATATGTAGAGATTATATTCATTAAAAAATGTGATTTGTTATTACATATTTCTTTTTTAATATTGTTGGATTTGTTGTTATCATAGGATATGTTTGTGTTTACGATTGGATCATATAAATTCGAATAAAATTTTGATATTTTGTAATCACATGATATGATAAATCTTTTTCGAATTTAAGCTCCATTAACAATAACTATTTATACGTGATTGATAATCAGGTTAAATTTTGACTACTTCAAGATTTATTCAGTTTAAAGAAATCGTTTGGTGAGTAACGAAGAAATAAGAGTTGAAGAAATTTTAAAAGATTTTAAAAAGGTATGTAAAAATTATATTATTTAGAAAATGTGAAGCATATTTTTTTTCTTAGATTTTTAATTTTTTAAAATATTTGATATATAAAAGACGATGGAATTTTTAGAAAATGAATTGTTTTGGTAATTTTAAATAGTTTAACCCCCAACATTTTCATCTTCATTCTTGATATTTATTATATTATTTTCATCTTTTCATCTATTAATTAAAATAAACATACAAATGATACAATAAATGGCGTGAGACATTGTTACAAGATTATTTTTAAAATATATTATCTCATTGTTTTGAATTTATGAAATGTTAAATAAGTTAAATACTTTTTACCCGTGAATGAAAAATGTGTATTTTATTATTTTCTCCAAAATAAAAACAAAATTTTCCAAACCAACGAAGTCCTTAATTGAGCATTTGACATCATTATTTTACATAAATCTAAAAGTAAAATATGAAGTTTCTTATGTGACACAATGTGGAAAAGTTATTTCATAATTCTTTTTTTTTTTCAAACATTTAGATTTTTTAGACTTATTTTGTTGGTTATATTAATTGCCTTTTATTAACTTATAAATGTTCTAGACATTTCGTTTTTTAATCTCATATATATATATATATATATATATATATATCATTTAACGTTTTTTCTTTTATTTTACTAATTCTTCCATCATATTGCAAACTACACAATTGAATGTCTAAATCAAGATGGAAGCTACATTCTTTATGGTTTATTTTATGTTTTTATGTAAGCTATTTGTTGTTATTGATGTGTTGAATTTTTTTTGCAGAATTTTTTTATCGTCGATATTGTTGTTCTTTCTCCATTAAATTCACGTAAGAATTGTTACATTTTATATAATGATTGGGGTGGGTTATTTGTTGTTGATGGGTGCTTTTTATTTCATGTTATTATATTTTGTTAATTATGTTTACATTTGTTTTTTATGCATTATATATTGTATTTTTTGTTATGTAGAAAGTTTTTATTGTCCATATCGAATGTTATTTTTTCTCAATTTTTTATTTTTTTAGATGTTGAATATATTAAAGACTTTTCTACCCTTGTATGAAGAATGCATAGTTTTATTAATATTTATTTTGCGTAATTTTGTTTTATTAATATTTTGTATTTATTCAAGTTTTTATTTTTTGTTTTCTGACAACAATTAAATTATGATTAAGTGGAATATATGTGGAGTTTTGTTATTATAAATTTTCTTCGCCATCTTTTATATTTATAGAGTTTCTCAATTTGTATTTTTTATGTCATTCTCTGTATTGTGGTTATTAATAAACCAATATATATCATGTGACTGTTTGTTATTTATAATGACACTTAAATGATGTTTATGTATTTATTTATTTGAAAAGAAATAAAATGTGATATCCATATGGTTTTTGTATGTGTATTTGTTTGCTCTTATTAAATTATTTATATTATATAATATGTGTTCTTTGTTTTATTATGCTTAAAATTACTTAAATTTGCTTAAAGTTATATTTATTTATTTATATAATATCATATTTAAAATACGTAATGAAAAATGATGTTTTTTATTGGCGATAAATTGATCTTACTATGCAGATGGCAATATTAAAGACTTTGTATGAATTTTTTTTTCAATTTTTTTATATATTGGGTAAATCAAAAAAAATTGTTCTGTTTAATATTTCGAATAGATTTATTTAATGATGATTTAAAGTTTTAGTTATGTATTAGAATGATTGATTATAATAACAATTGTGAGGATAACAATATAAAAAAAAAAAAATGAAAGTCAATAAATTAATCATTATATTTATAATCTATAACTTTAATAAAAAAATAATATATACACGAGCTAACATTGTAATATTTAATATTAGCTTGATTTTTTTTTTCTAAAAAAATTATCGCAACAAAACTACTTAACTGTACAAAACTAGTTAACTGTAAAAATGAAAACCACTTAATGAATTGCTATTTCGATTGATTTCCGGAACCGAATGATTTTAGCATCCGATCATAGAACAGAATGAGACCGTTCCTTTCAAACCACTACCCGCCACAAAAACCCTGGCCCCACACACCCAAAGGATCCATAGCCACTACTCTCTTAACTCAATCTCCACACACTTCTCTCCCTGAAAATGTCGCCGTTGGTATCCATCTCCGCCGGCGGACCACTTCCGATCCTACTTTCCACCACGCCAACAACTGCTACCTTCTCTTCCCGACGTTTTTCTACCCCATTTGCTTCTCTCGCCTCATCACAATCTCCACCACCTCCGCCACAACCCCAGTCAAAGTCAAACTCATCTTCCTCTAAAACGCCTTTTGTCGTCGATTCCTCCTCGTCCAAATCGTCAAATAACAGCTTCAACTACGCACTTGCAAACCCTAACGGAAGCGATCCTGCTTTGAAGTTTGTGAGGTCCACTGAGTCTGGCATTGAAAAGGTATGTTTCTTATTCTGTCAGGGTTTCAGTTGATAACAGCAGTGTTGTTTTGATATGTGTGTTCATTTGTACTGTGTATGTGATCTGGAAGCATTTTTACTATGTTTTTTATTATAATTCCTTGTGCAATGAATTCAAAGAAGCATTCTGGCATTTTTTTTCCTTTTCTTGAACTTATAAAAAAGTATTAATTGCTTGAAGATTCATGTTATGTTTATTTTCTTTCTCTCTCTTTCATCTTAGATCCATTGAGATATATATATATATATATATATATATATCTATTACTGAGATATATATATATATATATATATATATATATATATATCTATTACGAATTTGTCTGTTCTCCTAACAAGCAGACAACTTGGATCAAATAGATTTCTAATTGTTAGTACTACAAGTTATACCACATAACCTACTTGGGTAGAAATAGTTATGAATATAATGCATCAAGTATCAAAGTCTGTGTTTTATATGTATATATTATCTACAACTGTTGTCTGTTTTGTTTCTTCCACTCTATCAGCATTCATCAGCAAAGTTAATGAGCTTGTCTTCTTCAGAAGTTAGAGCACTTTTGTATACCACTGCTTGCTTAATGCACATCTCCAAAACTTATGTTCATTCAAAATGCATCATCCACTAAATACAGTTTTTCGTTTATGGGATCATTTATACAGGACATGGTTTCCTTTGTAGTCTCTTAATACTGTCTTTTGTTTCCCTGTCTGCCATTGAGCAGGTGATATTTGACTTCCGGTTTTTGGCACTTCTGGCTGTTGGAGGCTCATTGGCCGGATCCTTGTTATGCTTCCTAAATGTAATTCTCCTTAAACTCATCTTTTTAATTTCATATCATTACCATTTACCAAAAATTCAGTCTCATGTGGAAATTAGACTGACATGATGGTAAAATGACTATAATTCCTTCCCTGGTCCAATTATTGAGGTAATAGCATGCATAGTGTTCTCTGTAATGCATAATATTCTCGTATTACTATAGGAATAACTCGGGAATGGACCTAAAAAGTCTTTTATGACGAAAATCATTGATTTTTATTTTCTGTGCAAGTCAATTGAATATCTACTATAACACCAAGACTTGCAAAGGTTATCTCTCAGACTATGGCAAATCTTTTAACTACTAATAAACTGTTGTTGATCCCAAATTTATCATGTGCCAATGCTGGTTTCTAGCTTATATAATTTTCTGAGTAGTAAACTATTAATCATGTTGGAGTCCTCTATTGGCTAGACTTGGACCATATCTCCTCAATATATGTTGGAACCTCCCTTCTCTCCTCAAGGGCACTTTTGGAGAGTAATCTGATAGGGTTCGACATAATTTCACAAATTAACTTTAGCCCTTTTACGTGCACTTACAGTTTGAGCATGATATATGACATTCATATGCACTTTCTGTGTTTGTAACATCACGTACGGGTGAATTAGGTGATGCTGACTTGTTTAGATCTTCCTAGGGTTGTGTTTATATTGTCGATGCATATAAAGTCTACTGGACGAGCTGTTCAAAAGGAGTTCATACAGGGAAGATGGTACTGCGATTAGTTGAAGCAATAGGTGAGTTTCTAAAGACTTCCATTCTTTATATCTTTTATTTGATCCAAAGTATGAGTCATTTTCTCCCTTCCAAACAAAGCCTGTATGATAGTTTACTAGGTTTTAACTTTGCTTATCAGTGACTGCTTTCTTCTGTTGTTTCACTTGATTCCCAGGGCATGTTAAGCTTTTGATTCACTAGATCCTTATAATTTGTGAACAAGTTAGGTTCCACTTGACTTCTGTCACGATACAATGCATCAGAGAGAGGAACAAAATGGATAAGAACTAATAGTGATAGCCCTTGGGATAGAAAACAGGGTCGCAAGCAAGTACACTGCTGCTAGATCCAATTACTCTTGTGCACATATAGATCTGATATTGCTAAATCCGTTTGATTTATGACTATTCTATAAGAAGATGTATATTGGGTGAATAATTCTCTATAGAAGTGGTGATCTAAGGCAGACTATGTAGAATAACAGTACCTAAACTAGAGCAGTGTCTGTTATCTCTATAAACTATTGGGCTCTTGTTCTGTGTTTAGGAGCCACTGCTCAGGGTACGATATTGCTGTAGAAAGATGCACCACTCTCCATGGCTGCTATGGTCTTCCACTTCTGTTATGGCCATCCCCTTTCTGCTATTGAATCTTTTGATCTCCTGATTAGATACCCAATCAACTTAAACAAGATACTAAAAATCTGGACTGTTACAAACCTTTTGCACAAACTGTTGCAATATATATTATGCAAAAGTCTTGCTAATCTTAGGGTTAAGTTTCTTATGACAATCCAATATCTCGGTATATTCCTTTGGTACCATCTCCGATGCCAAACTTAAAGATGAGCCTTGATATCAAATCCACAAAAGACTTATGCACATAGAAATTTACACAGCTTCAAATCCATGGAACCATCATCACTTCATCTCTTTTCTTTTAGATGATCATTCACTTTGTTAGAACTTCAGGCCTCTAGAAATAAACATTGAAACACAATTCTTATCAAGTAACGCAAATTATTCTAGAAAAGAAACTTTAGAAGTGATTCAGCTGAAAAGTCTACCTCATGAAGCGAATACTCATCAAACTAGAACTAGTAGTTGTAATGGTTTGAATCATTATGTGTACATTCTTATGATATTATAGTTTATGATAAAAATCAACTAACTTTTAGTACCCCCCAATATCTGCTTGGTCATATGTCATTGCATTTTTATACGTGTAGACTGGCCAACTAAGTATCATCAGCTTTTCCTACTAAATGTGCACACTTAGAAGTTTGTTTTAATGTATTAAAACAAGCATAAAAACAACTAGAAAATGACAGACATTAAGTTAAAAACTTAGAACTTCATTGACGACTAGTAAGCCATACTACTTACAATAAAACATGCTTTAGAATATTCATGATAAGTAAGCCATACTACTTTGCAATTAAACATGCTTTGGAATATGAATACAGTGAGTACATACAAAGAATTTAATAAGAACCATCACTTGTGTCCTGATACTTGAAAAGAATTACAGCTTAAAAGGAGTGGTGCACAAAACTTACCATGATTAGCAAATAGTTGCACGCTTGTCCGTAACCAGTAATTATCACCTTTTCGTAACTAGTAAGTATAAAGCCTTATACCGTTAATCTGTTATGCTATATTGTTCTCCATAATGTGTTCCGTATCCCAATTCTTTAACTTCGTGGAGTTGTTTGCTTCAAACTTTCCCTGTACTTTCGCATGGGTGATACATATTGGCGTACCAATATTTATCTATCATGGTGCTCTAATCATTTGATGATTTTGATCTGGCCTAACCATGCTTCATTATTCTACAAGCAATTTCACATGTTAATGTTGTATTTGAGCGTTTACTCTATAAATATTACTTCCCAGTAAAGATATTAAAATTGGTCTTTTTTAAAATCTTAATGCAGATGTTTATCTTGCTGGGACAGTCATGCTAATCTTTGCAATGGGCTTGTACGGGTTATTCATCAGTAATTCACCCAATAATGTACCAGCAGCAGATGATCGTGCTCTTAAGGGTTCTACCTTATTCGGGATGTTTGCTTTAAGAGTAAGGCTGTAACCTAATGAAATTCTGCTTCACACTATATATAGGGCAAATCAAATAGAAACCGTGAAAACCAGTTTCTATACAACATATGTGAACATGCAGTATTCATAAAGTGTTGTTTCATAGATGAAGAGCAAATGAATGTTTTGTGTGAAAAAAACACAGAAATGTGTTTGTATGTGACATAAACATTCGTATTCACACACAAGAAAACATGTGAAACAATATGAATCATAGCTAAAGTCAACCTTTTTGGATGGTTCTGGTTGATTTTCACAGGTTTAGTTTTCACATGTGTTGTTTCATCTATGAAATAGTTTTCATGGTTTGTGACATTAGCGAGTTTCTATTGGATGTTGGTCCCTCTTTCTCTTTCTCACTGTCTCTCTCTATAGAGAGAGAGGGGGTTACGGGGAAAACTCCTAAAAAAATGAAAAACCGAGGAACATCATAATCATTCATCTTTAGGGTATGTATATTTGCATACAAGTAATCAGAGTTGGTACGGAGTGGATGTAACACTACTAATGTAATCTCATTGCGTTGCAGGAGCGACCTAAATGGATGAAGATCAGTTCGCTTGATGAACTGAAGACAAAAGTTGGACACGTGATCGTGATGATTCTTCTAGTAAAGATGTTCGAGAGGAGCAAAATGGTGACGATAGCGACTGGTTTAGATCTGTTAAGCTACTCTGTTTGTATATTTCTATCTTCTGCTTCCTTGTACATTCTTCATAATCTTCACAAAGATGATCATAAATAATTAACTTCATATAAACCCCTAGGCCTAGGATCACGATATATATATATATATATATGTATATATATACACACACAAAAACACACGTGTATATATATATATATGTGTGTGTGTGTGTGTGTGTTTATAGTACCATCCAAATATATGTTATCCCTTGGAATTATTTAAGCATTACTCATAAAATACCAATCTCAATTGAATTACTAAGGCAAAATTTCAGTTGTGTTGCTCTCAATCGTGTTTAGATCAATGTTTTCCATTCATAGATCTTTTGTGCTAGCATTTCCAGAGAATGTATGGTGCCTAGTATGTCTAGCTGGTCTCACTAAATAATTATTGTAATATAAAATAAAATTTGATTTTTCACGTCATGTCATACAATAAATATCAATGGTGGCACATACCTCCATCATCCGCCCCTCACTGACAGTGTCATCAATGATCTAGTGAAAACAATCGAGGACAATGGTGTGCATTCCATAGTGTACATTAGGGTTGGACCTTTGTTGTTCGTGGGGTATTTACGCGTTTATCTCAGAAGCAAAAGGATGTAATGGATGAGGATGTGCAAATTAACTTTATGTTAGCTAGTTTGATTGAAGTTAAAAAAAGGGTAATGGTGAAATTGATATGATTATGAAAATATAAATGTATGATCAGTACATATATTTTTTGAATATTAAATATAAAAGTATACTATTATGTTTATCTATTTTAGAGCAATTTACAAAAATCATCCTGGGGTTCACCAAAACGTTGGTTTTTGTCCCCTTGAAATTACAAGAAACGACATCAAGGTTTGTATTTCGTTCCTAAAATCTTCCATAGCCGTTAGAAACATTAGGAGCAGGCGTTAAGAGCAATTCACGTGAGGGTATTTTATTCATTCCGTATAGTTTTATACAAATTAAAAATTTGTGTACTAGTTTGAAAAGCATATGACAAGTTCTTAAACTAAAAACAAGTAAAATGATAAAATGTCCCTTATGTGACTTAGACGTGTGGCACTATGGACACAACTTAACGGTCCGTACGTCCATGGACCATTTTCTCAAATGCATAACCTTGATATTGTTGTAATTTCAAAAGATATGGACGAAAACTAGAGTTTTGGTAAACCGCGGGAATGATTTTTGTAATTTACTCTCCAACACCCCCTCAATCACCTTTCTTAACCTCCCAGCGACTCTGCATTTGACCTTCATTGTTGCTTCACTATTGTTTAACCTTGACTTTGGATTAACCTATGCAACTACTACCGTTTGACCTGCGGAAAAAGAACGAACAAACAACTACATTGAAGTTATGAAAAAGGACATCAAAGAAAAACCAATCTCAAACCTCTTTCGACATGGTAGCATATAGCAGCCACAACAACCATGGACCAAAAGCATAACACAATGGAACATTAAGGACGTTCTTTATAATTTCCAATCGTTAATGACCATACATAAAGTTTGGCCAAAGTCTAGGGACGATTTTTGTAATTTACTCAAAATCCAATAAGTTTTGCGAACGCGAGACAATGTGACCGTTCCTTTCAAACCGCTACCCGCCACAAAAACCCAGGCCCCGCAGCACGCCAAAATATACATAGCCAGCCACAACTCAATCTCCACACACACTTCTCTCCCTGAAAATATGTCTCCGCTGCTATCATCCATCTCCGGCGGAGGACCATTTCCGATCTTACTTTCTACCACACCAGCAACAACATCCTTTTCCCGACGCTTTTCGACTTCATTTGCTTCTCTAGATTCACCACAACCGAAGTCAATTTCCTCAAAAACACCTTTCGCCGTTGACTCATCGTCCAAATCGTCTGATAGCAGCTTCAATTACGCGCTTGCAAACCCTAACGGAAGCGATCCTGCTTTGCAGTTTGCTAGGTCTACTGAGTCCGACATTGAAAGGGTATGTTTCTTGTTCTGCGACTTGATGTTTCATATCAGGATTCAGTGGAATTTGGGGAAATATGAGAATTTTTTAGGTTATCCATGGTTAAATTCATGGACGTTGATATGTGTGTTTGTTTGAATTGTGTATTTGTGCTCTGGGAGCCTTTTTTTGTTAGCAAACTTTGAAATTGCATCAAATAGGATATAATAAATATCTGATTAGATTCTGGAAGATTGTGTTAGATTTTGGAAACAGAATATCAAAATTACTTGGATAATTCAAGGATTGTGTATAAAACACTTTAAAAAATCTGTGATTTCTACCCCATTGCCAGGGTATCACGTAATCAGATTTGGGATAATCCAAGAACAACAAATCTGGAATTTAGGCAAAATCCAAGATCACAAACACATAATACCTTGCTTGTTTATGTTCCTTTAGAGACAAAAATTCTTCAGAGTAACAGTATATACGAAGAAGATGATCAGCAATCATCGAATGAAGCCTTATATAGCCACCGGCGGCGGTTAAGTCGGTTATTTTTGGCGGGAACAGATGCGACTGTTCGAGCGGGACGCCGCTAGGGGCTCTGCCCCTAAAAACCCACCAGCGCCCCCGGACCCTGCGTCCCCAAGATCAACTTAACTTATCCGAGCGTGCACTCCACACCTCCAGGCTCGAATTATAGCTAAGTCTAATTTCGGCTTATCTCACGTTAATTCCGATCATACTAAATGGCTTGATGACACTAAAATCACGAACGGATTGTTGGTGGTTCAATTTTTCAATAAATAACGATGAAAACTCAGGGAAGGTAAAAAGAAGATGTGTGGAGGTCCTTGAACAAAGGATGCTTCAGGTCAAAATGAAATTCTGTGTTGCAATTTGGATTGTGCAATTTGATTTCTGAAGTTGCACTTCAGGTTCGTTTGTAATATTTTGAGGCGTTTCTAATAATTAATGTCTCTTAGTAAACCATATGATACTGACAAGTAGAGGGTGAATATTGTTGGAATCAAGAATTTCACACAAAGTATTGTTATTCACTGAATAATTCGAATCACCTTACAACAGAACACATACAAATGATTATATACAGGATCAAGAGACACATCAACAGACACAACCCTTCGAACAGATGTGACAGTTAATTAACTGTCACATAATCCCAGAAATAACTAACGTAACGGTCAACTACCTTAACGGTCAACCGAAATACCGACCAACTATAATAACGACCAGATTCTAGCTTATCATTTAACACACCCCCATAAGCTAGAATAATTTAACACCTAATTTTTCTTTCATGAGAGTAAAGAGTCCAACTTGAAGGGCTTTCGTGAAGCAATCGGCTAGTTGATCTTTAGAGACACAAAAGTCGATCTTTACTTCTCCGTTTGCTACCAATTCACGAATGAAGTGGAACTTAATCCTTATGTGCTTACTCTTGGTCTCTTGCCATGGAACACAGGGTTCTTGGTGAGTGCAATAGCTGACTTATTGTCACAAAAGATTGATGTAGGTTCTTCTTGCTCATGTTCTAGTTCCTTTAGGATGGATCTAAGCCACAAAGCTTGACACCCAGCAACAGATAATGACATGTATTCTGCTTCTGTCGAAGATAAGGCCACAACACTCTGCTTTTTGGTTTGCCAAGAAATTGCTCCATTTCCCAAGTGAAAGATGTATCCAGCAGTACTCTTTCCATCATCCATACTTCCACCATAATCACTGTCGCTATACCCAGTGAGTTGGAAGTTTCCTGTCCTTGTGTATGTAATACCATGACTTATAGTGCCTTTGATATACCTGATTATTCTCTTTCCTGCTTCCCAATGGCTCTTCTTTGGAGTTTCCATATATCTACTGATTATGCTCACAGAAAAAACTATATCTGGTCTGGTGGCAGTCAAGTACATTAGACTGCCCACCATGCTTCTATACATGCTTGCATCAATGAATTCTTCTCTTATATCCTTATGTAATTTAAGTCCAAATTCCATAGGAGTAAGTGAAGGATTAGCATGATTCATGTTGAATTTATCCAATAAAGTCTTAGCATACCTTTGTTGTGAAATCTTGATCCCTTCCATGTCTTGCTTTACTTCGATTCCCAGGAAATAATGTAGCAACCCCATGTCAGTCATTTCAAATTCTTGCTTCATATTTCCTTTGAATTCTTCTATTAACCTTTGGGAATTTCCAGTAAATACTAGATCATCTACATAAATACACACTATGAGAATCATACCTTTGATCTTTTGGGTAAAGAGAGTATGCTCTTGAGAGCACTTGTTGAACCCTTGTGTAATGAAGTAGTGTTCAATACGGCTGTACCATGCCCTTGGGGCCTGCTTTAACCCGTACAAGGCTTTCTTTAAATGGCATACTTTATATTCTTCTCCTTTCTTCACAAATCCTTCTGGTTGATCAATATAGACATCTTCTTCTATGAACCCATTCAAGAAGGCAGATTTTACATCCATTTGATGTACTTCCCACTTATTTTGTGCAGCTAAGGCTAATACCAATCTGACTGTTTCCAATCTTATCAGTTATCACAGGTGCAAAAACTTCTTGGTAGTCTATTCCATGCTTTTGCTTGTATCCTTTGACTACCAATCTTGCTTTGTACCTATCCACTTCTCCTTTTTCATTTAATTTAGTCTTGAAAATCCATTTAACTCCAATGGATTTGTGTCCAGGTGGCAGACTTACTAGTTCCCAAGTGTTATTTTTTTCTGATGGCTTCTATTTCTTGATTCATGGCCTCTCTCCACTTAGCATTTTGAAAAGCTTCCTAAAGGTTACTGGATCAGCATCAGAAAATAATACAAAGTCTGCTGTCTCAGTTAAATCCAGACTCCTTGGATCATTATAAATGTGTCTCAAATTTCTATATCCCCTTACAGGAGGACTTTCAGTGGAGTCTTCATATAGTTCTGAGTTTACTGTGTTTTGAGGTGTACTAGATGTAGCTGGACTTTGAGGCTCATGATCAGGCTGTCCAGATTCTGTATTTGTTTGAATCTGTTCTTCTTTCGGAATTCTTGTACTATTTTCACCTAACATTGGTGAATCATTCCATGCTTTCCCTTCTTCAAAAACAACATCTCTACTGATGATGGTCTTTTGAGTAAGAGGATTGTAAAGCTTGTAAGCCTTGGATTTTTCACTATAACCTAAAAAAATGGTTTTCTCGGATTTGTCATCTAGTTTGGACCTTTTCTGTTCAGGTATATGAGCATAAGCAATGCATCCAAAAGTCCTAAGATGTCCTACTGTAGGTTTATGTCCACTCCAGGCTTCTTGAGGTGTGATGTTAGATAGACCCTTGGTGGTAAGCATACTTCTTGCCTTTTCAATTAGGGTCCTATTGATTCTCTCTGCCACCCCATTTTGCTGAGGGGTGTATCTTGTAGTTACTTGATGTTGTATACCATTTTCTTTCAAGAAACTTGTGAAATAGGCAGAGTTGTATTCTCCACCCCCATCTGATCTAAAAGTCTTGATCAGATTTCCACTCTGCCTTTCAACATAAGCCTTGAAGTTTTTGAAGTGATCAAAAACCTCAGACTTTTCTTTTAAAAAATATACCCATAGTTTTCTTGAAAAATCATCAATGAAGGTTAAAACATACCTGTTTCCTCCTAAGGATGGTGTTTTCATAGGACCGCATACATCAGAATGTATGAGTTCAAGTGGTTTTGAGGCTCTCCATGCACCTTCTTGAGGAAATGGTTCCCTTGCTTGCTTTCCAGTCATACAGTTTTCACAAATCCCATCAACCTTATTTATGGGAGGCATTCTTTTTACCAAATTGTGCCTTTGCATAAAACTCAGATATCCAAGATTTGTATGCCCGAATCTATGGTGCCATAGGAGAGAATTCTGTTTTATTGATGTATGAAAGGAGAACCAGGTGTCCCCTTTGAAGTTTATGGGAAACATCTTGTTTCCAGTCATGATAATCTTTCCTATAGGACCACCAGTTTGATCACTAATAACACATGACTTACCTTTGAAATGAAGTTCATAATCCTTTTGTAGAAGTTGTCCTACACTTAGTAGATTATGCTTCAACCCAGGAACATAGTAGACATTTTGTATTCTTTTTTGACCACCTTTTGTGTAGACCAAAATGTCACCTATGCCTTGTACACTCAACCTCATATCATCCCCGGTCCTAACTTCCTTCCTTTGTGTGTCATCAAATCGTGCAAAGAGGCTTTTATTTCCAGTCATGTGATTGCTGCACCCACTGTCCAAGTACCAAGTGTCATCAGTGGGTAATTCGAGTGTATTTAGGATCATAAACATGGTGTCTTCATTATCTTCAATGTTGATGAAGTTGTTTTCCCTCTCTTCTGCAATTCTCTTACTACAAAACTTGGCTATGTGGCCAAGTTTTTGACAGTGATAGCACTGCATAGGTGATGGCTTTCCTCTACCCTTTCCCTTGAAATTAGTCTGTGTTTCTCTTTGTTGGAATCTGTTTTTCTCCTGGAAATTTGGATTTGAATTTGCTGATTGTAGTTGAAATGCTTGTTCATAGGGATTGTTGTCAAACTGTTTCATTCTCATCTAGTGAGATTGTAATATTCCTAGAAGTCTTTCCAAGGACATAATTGATATATCCTTTGATTCTTCAATTGCCACTACTACATATTCGAACTTCCTTGTCAAGCTCCTTAAAATCTTTTCAACAACCCTTCTATCCTCTATGATTTCCCCATTCAGACGTAGTTGGTTCAATACTAGAATCGTTCTATTGTAGAAATCTTCTATGGTTTCTGATTCTTTCATCTTCAGGCCATCAAACTCACATCTTAGAGTTTGGAGTCTTATTGTCTTGACTTTTTCTTCAGCCTTGTATGTTCTTTGTAACATATCCCAGGCTTCTTTTGATGTTTCTGATGTCGAAATCCTCTCAAAAACTGTTTCATCCACGGCTTGATACATCATGTACAGTGCCTTCTTATCTTTCTTTCTTAATTCTCTAATTTCCCCTTCTTGTTCTTCTGTGAATTCATTTATTTCTATGAGATTATCAATACCTTGGTTGATGACCTCCCACAGATCTTGTGATTCGAAGAGAACCTTCATTTGGATACTCCAATGGTGGTAATTCTTCCTGTTTAATTTGGGAAGAGCGTGATGGATAATATTGTTTGATGATGATGTTGTGGCCATCGTGAAATCTGGCTTTGATACCACAATGATGGAATCAAGAATTTCACACAAACAAAGTATTGTTATTCACTAAATAATTCGAATCACCTTACAACAGAACACATACAAATGATTATATACAGGATCAAGAGACACATCTCTTGATCAACAGACACAACCCTTCGAACAGATGTGACAGTTAATTAACTGTCACATAATCCCAGAAATAACTAATGTAACGGTCAACTACCTTAACGGTCAACCGAAATACCGACCAACTATAATAACGACCAGATTCTAGCTTATCATTTAACAAATATTCCCTATATTTCAGAAAGCGGCTGCAGTTAGATTTTTGACATCAGACCTATCACCTTGATGTAAACTTAGCATTGATCTTTTCTGCAAATTTAACATCAATACTACTGTGTCTGTAATACCTTTTCTGAAGTTGGATGTGGTTAGAAAGCATATCTAGAGAAGTTCAGAATCCGAACCAAGTTTAAAAGTAACAAGTCTTAAAATCCAAAGCTAAAATCCATTTGAAAGAACATCCAGATCCAAAATGATAATTTTATTTATTTTATTGGAATGGATGAAGCAAGTCAGAATTGAATTTCTGCTTTTCTAAACGAGAATAAGTTTCTGTTGGGATCAGGAAAATCTTGAAAGCCAGGTAGGTGAAAATCTTGATAGTATTTATAAACAAACTTGCCATTGGAAATCATCCAATATATCCAGAAGTTCCTCCAGGGATTTCCCCTTTAAATATGAAAAGTGAAGGAAAGCAGCACCTTTCGAAACCGCCTTTCTTATCTTAACAGAAAACATGAGAACGATGCTAGGAATTACAGGGTTTTTAGTTACCGAGATAATGGCACTGTTGTTTTGATTGCTCAATGAAAAATAAAAAGCTATCTTTTGGTGGATGTGTGAAATCTAATCTTTTTTAGCATATATAGAAATCCCAACCTTGATTCGGTTTACTCCTCCAAGTGTTGCCTATTAGCAATTAAATAGATATCATGCTCATGGCATTTTGAATTTAAGAGAATAATCTATACATGCTGACCAATAGAAAGGATAAAGTACTATTTGGCTATCGTCAAGCCTTTACCATAACCCACCGAAGCAGTTTGACTCCTGCAAAGCTTGAAAGGTATGCTTCTAACTAGGAAATTATGGATTTGAATATAAAATTATACCTAATTTTTGAGTACATATAATATATACATGCATTAAATACCCACACACCCTCCTCACCTTTGGTGAGCTTTGGTCCCTTGACCTCGTTGAGGTTGGGCTCTACCAATAACCTACTGGATATGGCTAGGCCAATGACCCTTTAGTGAAACTTACATGATATAATGGAAACTTAAATATTTTTTCAGTCTTACGATAATTACTTGCACAATTAATCCAAATAAGCATTCTATCGTTTTCTTTTCTTTAATTTGAAAAGAACAATGATTTCTTGAAGTTTTTTGTGTTGTTCACTTGTTATTTCCTTTCATCTTGAGATCCTTAAGCATTTATCTCTTACAAGCTGTTGGTTGCAGACTTGGATTAGCTAGAGCTCTAATTGTACTAGTATTGGCGGAAGTTATAGCTCAGAACCTATTCAAGTAAAAACAATTATGCATATGTTATATGAAGTATCAGCGTCATGTTTTCATGTTTATATATTGAACCTAGTGGAGTAAAAACAATTCAGCGTATGTTATATCAAGTATCAAAGTCCTGTTTTCATTTTTATTTATTAATCTATAACTGTTGTCAGTTTTATTTCTTCCACTCTATTAGCATCAATCAACAATTTTTAATAAGCTTGTCCTTTCCTTAATATGTTAGGACACTTTTCTTAACTAATGCCTTATTGCACATCTCCGAGATTTATGTTATTCAAAATGCTTCATCTACTAATTATTGTTCTTCTTTGTGGAATTATCTGTAATGGACATGGTTTACATTGCAGTCTCTTAATATGGCCTCTTGTTTCCCTGTCCGCTGCCACGCAGGTGATATTTGACTTCCGGTTTTTGGCACTTCTGGCTGTTGCAGGCTCATTAGCTGGTTCCTTGTTATGCTTTCTAGATGTAATTCGCTCTAAACTCGTTTATTTAATTTTGAATCACTTTACCAGAAGGTCATTTTCATGTGCAAATTAGACTGATAATTGCATGACGTTAAATTTTTTGTTGTAGTAGTAATTTAGCAATGGACCTGCATGTCCTGAAAAACATTGAACTTAATTTTCCATTTAAGTCAAGATATTATATAAATCTGTTGATTGAGACTGAGACTTCCAAAAATATTACTGATGATTATGGCATTTCTTCTAACAACTATAGATCGTTGTTCATCCTCAAATTCAACTAGTGACCATGCTGCTTGTATTATTTTCTGAGTTGCAAATAGATTAGTCAACTTTTAGCCTTTTTCTACTTGCATTTACATTTTGGGCATGATATGCGCCATTAACAGATGAGTTATATTTGCCTTTTCTGTGTTTATATTGTTAAGTTAGGATGAATTAGGTGATGCTGACTTCGTTTAGATCTTCCTAGGGCTGTGTTTATATCATTGATGCATACAAAATCTACTGGACGGGCTGTTTGAAAGGAAATCTTTCAGGGAAGATGGTGACTCGTTTAGTTGAAGCAATAGGTAAGTTTCTGTAGAAATTGGATTATTATATCTCCCATGAAATCGAAAGTATGAATTATTTTCTTCCTCAGACTGTATGCTTTATAACTTTCTAATTTCTGTAATGATTGCTGCTTTTTTTATGTTGGTTGAGTTGATTCACAACGACATATTAAGCTTTTTAACCACCTATTCTTGTAAACAAGCAAGATCCAACTTGTAATGCATTTTGCTATAAGACAGTCCATCAAATAGATCAAGACAAATGAATAAGAACCTCTGCTTCTGCTATTGAATCTTACTAATCTCCTGACTTAAACATCTATTTTTGGCTGCACCTGCCAACAATAGTACCTCTCTTTATAAATTCATCATTGTATGCCTAGAATGGTATTCAGAAATATATTACTTTTCCTCTCAGCAACTTGTTTTCTCTAATAGTTGGATAGAACATATCTAAGGTGCTTCCATCATGCGTCATAAACTTTTACACTAGAAGTTCTATATTAAAACAAGCATAAATAACAACTTGAAAATGATCATACATTTCTTAAAAGAAATCAAAACTTAATAGACAGACAAGTAAGCCATGCTACTTTACAATAAGATGCTTTAGAATATTGAGGAGAAGTAAGCCACTAGTTTACTAAAATATGGATACATTAAAGTCCAGTTTGGTTTGTAGGATTGGAATGGATTTGGAATTGAATTCCATTCCAATTCCATGCTTGTTTTGAAGAATTTCATGGATTTCAGATCCCAGGATTTCATTGAAAGCCCACAAACATGAGATTTTGAGAACGGGGGTGGTTGGTATTTCATGGGATTTCATAGGGTTTGCATATAATAATGTTCTTAATGCAGATGTTTATCTTGCTGGGACGGTCATGCTAATATTTGCAATGGGCTTATACGGATTATTCATCAGTAATTCACCTGATAATATACCGCCAGCAGAAGATCGCGCTCTCAAGAGTTCTTCCTTGTTTGGGATGTTTGTTTTGAGAGTAAGGCTCTGTTTTTGCTTCTAATGCAGTTCTGCTTATCATGCTTTTGTTCTCCAATTAATTTCACAGAGACAATTAGAGTTGGTAGGAACGGATATAAGACCTAGATCATGGTAATTCCCTTCATAGATGTATTAGAAAACCCATCACACAACTACCTAAACATTTACATAAAGCTTTGCTAGCTCTATGCTATAATCTTTCTACATCCATATAACTACACACACACACATATATGTGTGTGTGTGTTTGTGTATAAGACACAAGCACACTGCACACACATATTATATATATATATATATATATCGTGTATATAGATTACATACATATAAATACACACACATGACACATATACATATATATATATATATACACACATACACATATACATATATATATGTGTGTGTCTGTGTGTGTGTATGTATGTGTATAGTATGCATGTTGGAAGACTTCCTATAGGATTTGGAGTGTAACGTTTTGGATCAAATCATGGCTAGAATCTTTCCACTATTCCTTTGAGATTAGGAGCCTTCATCACTGAATCAATTACAAGAAATGACCAGAAAAAAGGGATCTGAATAGCATGTTAATCATGTTCTTAACATGGGGATCTGGTTTTTCCCTTGATGTCAATTGCTAGTATTAAACATATAAAACAGTAAATGGGATCTATGACCAAGACTTGGTTATCCTCTCATAACTAAGGCATGTTTGCATCTAATTCTGAAGACATGCACCAACACACACACACACATATATATATATATATATATATAGAGAGAGAGAGAGAGGGGGGGGGAGGAGGGAGCTGGAACACTCTGGTAAACTATTCATCTGGACGGTATGTACATATGTATACAAATAACTGAAACTGTTTCTTGGTTTTTATGCACTGTGTGCATGTTATGCACGTATGTTCAAATGAACAATTATCCGAGTGTTTCTCAAATTTTCATTTTTTTACGGTGTATATATATATATATATATATGCTTGAAATTATAGATGGTAATCAAATTCACCTTAGATATTGTATATGCATTGGGTTGTAGGAGCGACCTCAATGGATGAAGATCAGCTCGCTCGATGAATTGAAGACGAAAGTTGGACATGTGATTGTGATGATTCTGTTAGTAAAGATGTTTGAGAAGAGCAAAATGGTGACGATATCGACTGGTTTGGATCTGTTAACCTACTCTCTTTGTATATTCCTATCTTCTGCTTCCTTGTACATTCTTCACAATCTTCACAAAGATGATCATCATAAATAACCAACTTCATTTAAATCCATCCCCCAAATTATACTTGTTTGTAACCCTAAGGCAATTAATTATTCAAGCATTACTACTTGTATATATAAGTTGTAATCCATTTTCATTTATAGGTTTATCTGAACATATATATGCATATGGTTATTTGTACGCATAAGTCTTGCTACTACTACTTATGGTTGTCGCATTTGGTTATGTTTATAAGTTAGTTATATCAATTTAAACATATAGTTTTAAAAGTTGTATTTATGTATTATTTACCTTTAATATTGAGTTTTAAATAATACGTATCATTATACAATATTTAATGTATTAAAAATAATTTTTAATATAAATACTTTATAATATAGCATAGAAATGTATTTGATAACGCAAAATAAGAAGTAAAAAAAGAAGACTGCCAACCATTGACTCAAGAGCTCATAATGATGAAGTCTTATTTTTGTAGGTTGTACCCAAATACATTATTTATGAACTAGTCGTGCAATGTAGCGAGATACATTTTGATTTTGATGTTTCGTTTTATTCTGTTTCCGTTGATGTTATAGTACGATTTTATGTGTAACTGAAAAAAAAAGATAATGTTTTTATTTTTTGAATGAAATATAAAGTTGAAGGGATCACAAAATTCTGATAAAAAAATGTATCTACTTTAGTATCAAATTAAATATTTATGTTCTTGTTCTTTTTTGTGTAATTTCTTTAATTCAATTTTTTATTATAATCGAATTTAGATTTAATAATGAAATCATTTATTTGTTGTTTAATAATATAATTATTTTATAAAGATAATAATTAGTATTTTATTGGAATTCAATGATTATCCTAAATATATTTTAGATTTTTTATATTTAAAATGAGATACATATCTAGTATTTGATTATGTTTATCTGCAGTTAGTTACACGAATTCAAACATAGAACTTTAATAGGTTGTACATTCGCACAATTTACTTGTAATCTTGAATTTTAAGTAATATGTATCAATAAACTGTAATTAATGCTTAAAGTTTGTTTTTAAGAATTTTTGTCAAATGTTTTATAATATAGCATATATATCTTTTTATGTAGATAACAAGAACCACAAGGGTGGTGTCTGATTGGTTTGAGCTTGACTCAAAAGGTCAAAAGTATCTGGAGGTCTCAGGTTCAAATTCAAGGAGGAATAAAAATCTCTTGTGGCCACGGAGGTTCAAATGCGGTGACTCCGGATTATCTGCAAAGCATATGATCGTCCTGAAATTAGTCGGCTCGCATAGCGGGCTGGATATCCAGGTTAATAAAAAAAAAGATTCAACAAGGAAATAATATTTACTTATATAGAGGAGCGATCAAATGAAAACAACCCTCATTTGTGTAAACCATATAAACCAATCACATCCATCAATTTTCTTGATCAATGGTCAAGATTAGTTTAGGTTATATTAAGAAATTAAAAAAATAAAAAAATTATTTTATAATCCCAAAAAGACAAAATGGTAACTTTGGTAGTGGTAATATTAATGGGAACCATATCATGTATATTGTAATATTAATGAAACAAAATCATTTGTAAAATAATATATTAATTTTATGTTCAAATATTATAAAAAATTAACATTCATCATTAAAATAGATCAACAATAAAAATAAAATACACTATAATCAATTTAACATAATGAAACCTTTTGAATAATATTTTTTTTTACCATATTTCATGAACGAAATGTTTTCATAGTTTCATCAATACACAAATCAACGTAATGCTAAATGAAACATTTGTCATTTTCAAATTTCCGGCAGATGGATCCGTTTCAATCTAATTATGAAATGGTTTCACTGTTTGCTAACTAAACAAATGTTCTTAACAATTATGAAATAGTTTTTCTATCGTAATAATGAAATTGTTTCATTGTTCGCTAATTACACAACATTTTCTTATCAATTATGAAATGGTTTCACTTTCTTCATGCACTCATTTTATCCGCCAATTTCTTCCAATACAAACACGTTTCATAGAGTTTAGCATTTACCATTACATCATTTCTTAACCATTAAGTGAACAAAATCATCCAAAAAAAAAAAAGGAAACAATTTCATCAAATATTGTTGATAAGAAAACAAGATTATGCAAGAATATTATATTACGCAACCAGTTCCTCCCCAAAAGTTTCATAAAACAAGCTCTTTAATGAACGTTTTCACGAACCAATCTGCATACGTTTCATAAAACAAACTCCTCAATGAACGTTTTCATAAACAAATCTAACATGAATTTGTTTCACATCTGATTATATTTTTACCGGTTCATGAATCTTTGTTTGGATCTGTTACTGATTTCGTGGATTAATGAATATAATAATTTTCGATTTTCATATTATTACCACTAATAAACTGAGAAACCAAATAACAATATTTAATTTTTAAAATTCTAATTTAAATAAACATTTAAATATTACCATTTATAAAACTTCCTTTATTATGTTACCTTAATTAAAATTTATTAATAACTTTCATATTTAATAGAAAACAATGTAAATGACAACTCTACCCTTAATGATTAAACGGTTTACATGATTTACACGGTTTCTAAGAATTAGACAGTTTTCATTTGATCCCGCCTCTACTTATATATATATATATATATATATATATATATATAGGGGCAGGTTCAAATGAAAACCATGCAATTCTAAGAAACCGTGTAAACCAATTTCGACCAATAGAAAAATTTCATTTTTTAATTAAATTTAATCAATAAAGGTATTTTGGTCATTTTCCATATTTTTTCGATAAATAAGAAAGTTATTAATATTATTAAATAAAGAAATTTAATAATGAAAATTATATAAATGGTAACATTTAAATTTTTTATTATATTATAATATTAAAAACTTGATTTTAATTTTTTGTTATTCAATGAATCTGGCGTGGTATGAAGATTCTAGCTTCTTATGGAATGAAATCTTGATTTGAGGTTGGAGGAAAAAAATCCCATGCTCATGAAACTGGTTCAATGTGAAAATGTTTCATTGTAAAATGGTTTATTTGTTTCTTCTAGGCATATTGTACATGTTAATGAAATAGGTTCATGATGGTGAAAGATGTTGATGCTCTAATTGGTTCATGATTCATTATCTAGTTTCATGGTGATCCATGTTGCTTTGTGATTGAAGTTGATCCGTTTAGTTGGTAGAATGAAAATGAAACGGGTGCATAATGTATTTTGTTCTTTATGGAATAAATGTATGATGAAACGGATGCATATTATATTTTGTTATGTATGAAATTAATGTTCATGAAAATGTTTCAATGTGAAAATGTTTCATTATAAAATGGTTTATTTGCTTCTTCTAGGCATATTGTACATGTTAATAAAATAAGTTCATGATGGTGAAATATGTTCATGAACTAATTGATTCATGATTCATGAACAAATTGATTCATGATTCATGAACTAGTTACCAAGTGTTTCAATGTTTATGTTCTAATTGATTCATGATTCATGAACTAGTTACCAAATGTTTCAATGTTCATGTTCTAATTAATTCATGATTCATGAACTAGTTACCAAATGTTAACTTTTGTTTACCAATTTTGCCCTTAGTATTGAAATAAAATAAAATATTAATATTTTTTATTTTTTTATTTCCTAAAATAAAGTAAACTAATCTTAGCCATTGATCAAGAAAATGAATGAATGTGATTGGTTTACACGGTTTACACAAATGGGGCAAGTTTTTATTTGAACGCTCCTCTCTCTCTCTCTCTCTATATATATATATATACATATATATATATATATATATACATATATACATATATATATACATACATATATATATATATATAGGGGCACTCCTTTCGGGATTCACAGGCGTTTTAAGGGGATGGTGGGAGCAATATGTCTCATCCGAAGAAAAACACACTATTTTAACCGCTAAAAAGACCATGATAAAAACTGAAAATGATCAACAAATTTCCTCCCAAGAAGATGATATAATAAATACTTTACTTTTTGCTATTATTAAAAACTTCATAGGAGATCCAACTGTTTTTCAAGAAAAAAGTCAAAAAAAATCTATTAAATCTAACTTGTAGAAATACTTTATTTTTTGCTATTATTAAAAACTTCATAGGAGATCCAACTGAATTCAGAGTCTATACTTTCTTTTATCCATTTAATATATGTTAAGATATTTGATAATCTTATATATATAACCCGAAACTAATTGCTTATTTTGTTTTTGTTCTAAGATTTTTATTATTAAAGTTTGTTTATCTTTTTTTAATGTTTCTAAATATTTATGGTCATTAGCTATTTCTATCCAAAATAACTATACAAATGAAATATCAAATACAATGAGTCAACAATTAAATAGAATAGAAAGTAATCAAAATAAAGAAGAAAAAATAGATAATAGAAGTTTTTTCATAATATTTAGTGGGTATAATTTTTTCTTGAATACAATTCATATCAACACCATTATCTATTAATGCTATTACTGAAACTCTAAATTCATTCTTAAAACAAAGTTCTATTATTGTATGCCATCTTTGTATATTGATCCCTTTTGAAATCTTATGAACAGTAGGTTTTTCTATTTCTATTTCAGTATCTTCGCTATTAGAAGATTCTCTAACTTGAATTATTTCTTTATTCTTTTCTACTTGAGATAATCTATCTTTAATTAATCTTATTTATGTCTTTACATTATTTAATTCTTCTTGTAACTCTTGAACATTAGCTATTTTTGGTTTATTAAATCTAGAAAATACCTCTTGCAGATTAAATTCTTTTATTTGGATTATAGGTTCTTTGGGTTTATTTAGATCAAAGAATTTGTCAGATATTTCTTTTTTAATTATTAGATCTGTTATTTGTTCTAACAAATCGAATATTCTTTTATCTTCATCTGTTATCACATTTACTTGATAACAAGTACAATTACCTATACATTCACATTCTGAATCTGAATTAGACGAGGTCGAACTATTTTCTATAATATTTAAGTCATTTTGATTGTAATCAGATAAACTAGATTCACTAGAACTATCTTCATTAAGAAATAATTTATTCAGCTTATCTGTTAATTGATCTGAAAGATTTAATTCTCTAATTCTTTTCTTAACATAACAATCTCTTGCCATATGGCCTGTTTTACCACATTTGTA